GGAGTTTTGAAGCTTGCGTATTAGAACTTACGAAATACTTATGAAAATCAACCGTGTTTTAATCATTCCTTTATTGAGAAATTATTCATCAGTTCAAATAGACCACCTTATTCTTTAACAACCTAGAAATTGCTGGAAAGCCACAACTTAGAACATAGAGACCATGGATGCCCCGAACTTCTCCTTGGCTTCTTTGTCAAAGGGATCGTCACCTAAATACATGTAGATGAAGGCCCGGCAGAGTAGTTCACTTTCCACCTTGCTCACAATTTCACCCTTTACTGCATTTAGTTAAAGTTAAGGTTTAATCAAGTTAGCAATTCAACTTGATGGCATGAAATTGACAAGATTGAATTTTGTGGTAGATTTTACCTTTGGTCTGAAGAACATATCCCGGAAGCCTTGAAATCTCAATTACAGAACCAGAAGTCAGCTTTATGTCATCAGATGCTTCACCCATGATCCTAATATTAAAACAGGATATTAGAGTTTAAGCATTCAAGTTTTCGTAATCAAAAAAGCATTCTGTGTTAAGGCTGATTAGCATTTAAAATGGTTGTATGTACTTCTTTGTGAGCTCTTCGTTCTTCCCACCAGTGAGTTTCTTTATGGCAGCTCCTAGGCCTTCGTCAAAGTTCTTTCTTACCATGCTTATGGTTAGGTTAGAGAAAACAATTACCAACCGCACAATCATCCCAAAATCACTATCAATCACCATTTGGTACATTTCCTTTGTTGGTTTTGATGGTGCTTTCCCAATCTTGGACTGCATAAGGTCCTTCAAGTTCTCCTTGTCTGCATATATTCCTGCAGTCAAATAATGAGTGGTTAATTTTGCGGAGGCCAGTTTGTGTTGCTGTACCCTATTAGAATGAGCTTGATCTAGGTTACAACTTTAATCAAAGTGCAGTATGATCCCTATTTGTATGTTTGTGTAAAGAAGATAGTTTAAATGGAGTATTACCAAAGCCATAAATTTTAAGGCCCATGCCAAGCATGCTCTTCTTCCTTAAACCTACAGCTTTCAACTGCATCCCATCTTCAAGTTTGACAGGAAAAGAGACTCCAGTTTTAGGTTCAACCTCAACTGGAACTTCCTCGTCCTTTACAGTTGCGTCTTTCTCCTGACCGCTCTTCTCCTTCTTTTCCTCTTCAGTTTTGGCCTCATTCGTACAATTTGGCTTCTCTTCTGCTGTTTCTGTAATCTTTGGTTCACCTTCGCTCACCTTCCCCTTCTCCATTGTTGGTTTTAAAGCAAGACCACTCTTGGGGTCAATTTCAATTGCCTCAGTCTTTGCTGTGACATCTTCCATGGTGGTCGGCATTTTACACTGATAGTTATAAGCCAAGAGGAAGAGATAGGAATTGTTTTCTGTTTTGCTGTGGTTTGAAGATTGAAGGGTAATGAGGTTTATATAGGAAGAGATTTGCCCGAGGGTTACTGTAACTCATTATTGATGTCTCATGCAAGTGGGAGTCTCATTGCACAGAAACGAGGCATCTTTTCGTCCTTCCTCGGTTTGAGCATTGAGGTAATGGGAGGCAAATGTTACTCCCTCCGGTTTGAGCATTGAGCATTGCTTTTAGCACGCACATTAAGAAAATATTAAATTCTTTACAAAAATACCTATTATGATTAAACTACCCCTAATTAAATATTTAATGTCAGGAGTAAGAAATTTTTTTAGCGATATGTACATAGGAGTTATTTTGTAAAAACAAATTAAATTCTTTCTTGATTACATAACTGGATACTTATTTGAACCAAAATAAAAAAGCAAATTGATCAGTTATTGTGAACAAGAGGAACACATATTATCACCCACTATAGCTCATTAACTCACTAGTGTGGTTTATTTCCTTGCACTAGTTTGCATATTTTGGCAAAAATTTACGGAACACATTTCAAGGACCTGTATTGTTGGCTATCATAAATGTATGATCCCATTTCAATGTGAATATGTTCTTTTCAAAAAATTCCAAGGTAGTGAATAAGTGCTGACGGAATATGATGCCTGTATTGGCCAAGCAATTCCTTTTGTTTTCCTATTATTCTTAGAGCCTGTTTGGCCAAACTTCTAGGAGGCCAAAAATATTTTTTTCCTCTAAAAAAGTACTTTTAAATTTTTTTAAGCTATTTGACCAATACAGAGAATTACTTTTGGCCAGCAGCAGAAACACTTTTTTTGCTTTTGAGAAGAAGCAGAAAATTCTAGCTTCTTCCAAGAAGCAAAAACAGAAGTGAGAAATTAATGTATTCAAGACAAAACTATCCTCACTATAAATTTATAATGTTCAAATTATCACTTACAAATGTAAGTTTTTTCTTTTCATTTTTGTTTCTAGTTTTTACCATTCTTTTAAAATTAAAGATATCATATACAAGAATTAATTATACTGTAACTTTCCAACTTCTTTATTGACTTTTTTTGTTTTTGATTTGTTCTTTGTGTAATGTCTTGTAACTTGCTAAATTATCTTCTTCTTTTTTCACACTAAAGTAAATTATCTACATCCTTCTTTGGACTATCAAATCTCTTCCTAAAAATAATCATTTATAATTTCTTCTGTTATATGCTTTCCCGAACCTTTAAAACAGTTATCAAATCTAATTTATGAAAATTACCTACAAATAAGAATACATTTATAATTCCATCGCATAATCTATCTATATATTATTAAATAAAAGAAGAAAGGCATCACACATTAAGCCAAGTGACTGCCTGAAAATAGGCCATTTGGCAATTAGGACAAAGTTAGTAAGATTAGGTAATACTAATTAGTGTCTTTTTGAATTTAAATTTAAAAAACAATTATATATTATGTGTTGTTAATAATTAGTTACTCTTTTTGAATTTAAATTTAAAAAACAATTATATATTATGTGTTGTTAATAATTAGTTACTCTTTTTGAATTTAAATTTAAACATACTTAACTATTTTTTTTACTAAAAAATTATTTTTATATATTTAAAATTATTTTTATTTTACGTTAAATCCCGTCTTTCAAGTTTGACACTCAGAATCATCAAAGGAAAGTAAAGGTAGGAAGGAGAAGCACTGAGCTGCGAACGTCGAGCAACTACCTAGTCAACTCCGAACAACCTGCTAGAAAGCAATCAGCCCTCGCTAGCGTGACCCGAGACTCCTGGATCTGCACACAGGATGCAAGGAGTAATGTGAGTACGCCAACTCAGTAAGTAATAAAAGTAAAGGTAGCTGAGCGATAAGAAAACACGTAAAACACAGCAAAATGCTACAACGAGGCAGTATAAAAACCAGAATAATACAATAAAATAGTAAAAGCTCGTAGAAACACCTTAGTTCAGTAAAAACCTCTTTAAAACCTCTTTTATCAGTTCAATCAAGTAAATGAAAACATGGAGAAAAGAGAGAAACATATATCAGCCCATCGGGCAAAATACCAACAGAACCAGCCCCTCGGGCTATCTCACAATCACTTGTATCAGCCTCTCGGGCAATAACTTGGAACAATATCAGCCCCTCGGGCTATATCACATCTCACACTGGGTACCCACGCTCACTGGGGGTGTGCAGACTCCGGAGGGGCTCCTACAGCCCAAGCGCTATATCAAGCTATCTCGTGGCATAATCAAACTGGCCCTCGACCTCATAACAAGCCACCTTGTAGCGTAACAACTCAGGCCCTCAGCCTTATAATCATGAATCAGTACAATACCTCTGTAGCGTGCAGCCCGATCCCATAATATCCTCACAACACAGGCCCTCAACCTCACTTAGTCAGAAAATCTCTCAAAGCCACTCGGGCACAATAAAACATGGTGCTCAGCCCAAAATATTATTTAAAAATGTCAAAACGGAGTAAATATGGTCGAGTTATGAAAACAATAGAATACAACATGACTGAGTACAAATATGAAGTAAAAACAGTGAGGAATAGTAATAAAAATCCCCTAAGGGTCCAAAATAGTTGGCACGAGGCCCAAATATGGCATTTAGCCCAAAACATGATAATACTTTCCAAAATACAATGATAGCAAACAGTTTTTAATCAAATATGCAGTTTAATAGTCATACGGAACAGACTAAGTCAGAATCCCCAATGGTGCACGACCCCACACTCATCATCTAGCGTGTGCATCACCTCAAAGTAGCACAACGATGTGAAATCTGAGGTTTCATACCCTCAGGACAACATTTACAATCATTACTTACCTCAATCCCGTCCAAACTCTAGCCCGCGATGCCTTTGCCTCTCGACTCGGCCTCCGAGTGCTTCAAATCTAACCAAAAACAAATTCACATCATCAAAGGGAACACAACCCACCCGAAAATAATCAATTTACACCAAAAATCCCAAAATTGGCCAAACCCGACCCCCGAGCCCACAACTCGGATTCCGACAAAATTCCCCAAACAAGAATTCTCACGTCCTCACGAGTTCATACATACTAACTATACCAAAATCCGACCATACACGACCCCTCAAATCCCTAATCAAATGTCTCCAATTTCAAACCCTAAACCCCCAATTTTCACCCTTAATCTCATAAATTCCATGCTTAAACAAGTAAAAATCATCATAGAATCGAGTTTTAGGTCCAAGAAAGTCACCTCAATGAAAACCCCCTTGATCCCCTCTTCAAAA